TTTATTCATTCATCTATCAATGGACACTCAGGTTGCTTCTATATCTTGGCTATTGTAAATAAAGCTACAATGAACATAGGAATACATATATCTTTTTGAATCAGTGTTTTGGATTTCTTTGGATAAATACCCAGAAGTGGAATTGCTGAGCCATGTGGTAGTTTTACTTTTAATTTCCTTACACTTTACTGCCACTGTCCCCATGGGTTCTATGCTTAGAATAATGCTAGATATGTAGACATGTGTAATAAATATTGATTAGTTGAAACTATTTGAGATACAAGCCCAGTGACACTAGCATTAGAAAGTCATCATTTTCGTATATGCTGTAAAAGAAGTTTCGATATTATAACTGTAAAATTAAGGAACCCTGGGCAACACTTCACTTCACAGTATATTATCTTTGCCTTAGAATTTCCTGTGTAAGGGAAGCCTATAATGATAATTGCAGCAAATACAAGTTTCTTACCTAATGTTCATGCTTACTTTCTCTCTTCTAATAGAACCCTGACTTTTTGTTCATGATAAATATATGTACAACTGAAAATACTCATCAGATTCTCCTCTAGCCAGAAACGATCATGAGACCCAGTTAGCCAGTGATAAAGTCTTTTGGGTAGGATTTACAGAAAGGCTATTATTTTCCTAATGTAAAAAAGGACAGAATCTGCTATTATATGCCTTTTGCTTTCATCCTTCTTCACTTCTTGACTGAAGCATGGACACAGCATGTCAAGAATGAGTGCCCACCTTAGGGCCATGATGACAAAAACCACACCTTCAGGAAAGAAGAAAGGAAGGGAATAAGGGAGGGAAGGAGGCATGGGCCAGAAAGAGCATGAGTTCTGTTGCCTGTCTGTGAACTTCCTGCTAAGAAAAATAAGTCCCTATTTGTTAAGCTAATCTGGTAAATTTTCCATTACATATATCTAGGTATAATCCTAATGCAATGATACAATAACTGATAATCCCAAATTATCAACAGGAAGTAAAATAAGAGTCTAAGAAATACAAATTACAGTTTCTATGGTAATAACCTGCCTCTATCTTAACCACAGAATTTTTACCTACTTTGAATCATTTATCACCTAGCTTTACACTAAACCTAATTAAATAGATCTAGTCCCTATTGATCTTTTCTCTAAAGATACTATAAAAATTCATAGAAATAAATCAAGGAGCAATATAAAAATTTTTTACCAGAAAGAAATTTTTCCAAAATAGCTTTGGGTGTCAAAAACCATATGCACATTTTGTTTTTCTTTGTTTACTGATTCCAGAGCCTTCTGACCAACAAACCTTAGCACACTGATTTGCTCCTAATAGGTTCCATCTATACCCGGATGCTGCTTCACTTCAGTTCACAGGTCAACCAGATAGGGCCTTAGAGTGACCAGCGCCCCGAGAACTAGTTGACTCTGATCACGACAGTCCTCAGTATACTATGCAAACATTCTCTGTCTACGAGCATCACAATGTAAAAAAGGTTGGGAAGCACGTCCCTATATGACAGCTAGATGCTATTGAAATAATAAGAGCAATGGGAAAAAATGACCTATTTATAATACTATATAACCCAAAATTAGCTAATATACATAACATCATTTGATTCTCAGCAAAATCATGAGGGATCAATAGGGCACTTATGTTTATTATCAAGGTTCACACTGTTAGGAAATGGCAGAGCCCAACTTTTGAATCAAGGATTTCCTCATCTGAGCCCTATGCTTTTTCTGATACAGTTCCCTGCATGACGACATTCTAAGTATGCATAGATCTTTAAAATTACCATTTTGATTTCATTCTCTGAAGAATGAAATGGTTTTCCTTTGTTTTCTCTTGTGACCGCCATGCAGACACTAACATATATGGAAACTGATGCTCTCTTTGAACTTAGCAAGACTGAGAAAGGACAACACTAAATGGCATATTTAGGCCATACCAACCTTCTTTTTACAGCTCCCAGTGCTGACACCCAGAGAGCCAATCCTTGTTATTCTGTGTGAGTAGAAAAGAGAGTTTTTGCCTATGACTCTCCCCAAAGGTATCTATTAAAAAAGAAAATAGTATGCTGCCATTGACCGTGCTGAGGTTTTGCTTTGTTTTGCCAATTACAATTTCTCATTGTCCTTTCCATAAAAGAGAAGAATAGGGAGATATGAAAGAAATTGTCAAAAGTAAATTACACATTTAACATATAAAAGAAAATACAAATTTTAAACACAGGGCAATTATTGTCAAGAGATATTACTGAAATAAAAAGAATTTAAGTGTTATTCCTATTTTAGAAAAGCTAGACAATCAATAGATTTTAGTGACTAGAAATGTTATTTTAATTTATTTATAGCAATGAAGAAACAAAAAGGATAGATGCACAAGGATAGGAAGGTATGAGGAAATATCTATAAGTAGCTATTATAGATAGATTAAAAAGCACAGACAATATCTAAAATATTAACCAAACATTAATTTGCTGTTCAGAAAATAAGAACATGATAGAATGGTTGAGCATCTATGGCATAAAACAATAAATGTAAGCAAGCATAAGTTAGAGAACATAAGTGCAATGGTTATGGAAGTGAGCTTGGGCAGGTTTAGAATCTCGTGTTTAAAGATATGGGCTCCAGATCTGGAACACCGGAGTTCAAATCCTGGTACTATCACTTAGCAGTTGGGTGATGATAACATGCTTAATTTTTTAGTATGGAAAAAGGGTTGTATTTTTTATCACATTGACAGTTAAGATTAGTAAAATTATAGCATTATACAATATGTAGAATTCTTATATTAATTGCTTGTTTATAATATTTCTTAACCAAATTTCATCAACCATAAAATAGGCACAAGGCATAAAAAAATTTTTGCCACCCAGTGACAAAGTAAGCCAAGACTGTAAACTAGAATAACATAAGCATAATACTGTGGGCAAGTTCATGGTAAAAACTAACCTAGTTCCATGACAGGCTAAACATATTTGAAGGCAATTTGATTCTTCCAATGCATCCTGGGATATCCCATTCTATTCCATAAGACTGAGTCACAATAGCTCCAACACTATTCTATTTTTATTTTGGGATATAGATTAAACATTCTCCTCAGTAGCTAACTGTAAATATAAATGTTACTTCTCAGGACTTACAATATACTTGATAAAGGATATGTCTACATCGCCCAAGTAAAAGTCTACCTTCAGAAATAAAGTTCTTTTGGTGTACACAGCAGTTGACCAATGAATGTATTTATGTTCCACTGGTAAGTTCACTTAAGTCTAATTTAAGTAGCACATCTTATCCATCTTGTTTAAACTGTACATGCAAAGTTAACGTATTGGAATGTATACTTAGTATTACAAAATAAGTCTCTAAAATTTAAAAATATACTAAAATTTCCACAAATTCTTATTTTTTAACCTTCAACTACTAAACGTAACTAACTTTCTTAATATAAACACAAATGTATGTGTTTTAAAATGTGAAATCACACTTAAAAACAAGAAAATGAAATATCCTGAGCAATCATAGAGAACTAATAAAGGATGAAATACCGGGTCAATAAACATCTTGAGCAAATATTAAATGAATACTCTTACAGCATGACTTCAATTCCCAAAATAATATAGTAACATACTGATGTTACAGAAAAGCTATACAAATAACCTCAGCTAAAATATACCATCTTTGTTGTCTGTTTCTGAAATTATGCATTTTAAGAATAACTTCCAATTAAATTTTCCTAGCATTCAGTTTTACTTTGAATCAAATCACTGTTCTAAGAACTGTGTAAACCATATTAAAGCTTTCTAAGTCACTATTCATTTACAGTCAAACACGTGTAATCACATATAGTACTATACCTAAATGAAATGTGAATAAATTCCACAAGTATTCCTTAGGTAGATCTTAAGTTGGCAAACAGGTTCTATACTAAGCAAGAAAACGCTTCATTTCTGTGGAAACTTCATTCAGTTTCCATCTCGTCAAGGTTTCATTTTCCGTAACCAAACATAGGAAAGGTCAGCAGTGGGCACAAAGGAAAACATACAGGCATGGGACATTTAGGTTGACAGCTACACAGCCTGCTTCTGTGCAGTCTGGATACTCCCTCTAGGGAGGCAAGGAGGAGAAGTTGGAAGATATATAATCTTCCTCAACTGAGCCTTCCTAAATGGAGAGGTCTACACACACACACACACACACACACACACACACACACACTCATTAACAAATGGAAACTTGCTATGTTTTTTAATCGTTTAAGTTTTATGTGTAAATTGTAATAACATCTTGCTTTCAGAAAGACCCAGGCTCAATATGTTTTAATGGAAATAAGCCTTACACAAAATATAAACAAAAATATTGCATTTGATAAAGAATAACACAAACAAATGTCTCAGAGTTATATCACAGTTCTTACTAAAAGAATACAGTTAGATTTTATAATATTTCATTATATATTTCCCCAAAATTAACATAGCTTACTTTACTGAGATATTTGGTTATTATTTTGCACGCTACCAATTAATTCAGATTCAAATGAAAAATGAGGAGTCAAAATAAGAAACAACTCTGGAAAACTTTTAATCCTACAACATTGTATAATATCTTAGGGAAACATTTTTTTTAAAGTTTGAAATGACAATCTCAAAGAGAATGTCAACAGAAACCCTTTGAATAGAATGCACTTCATTTTATTTTTCCTAATATTTGTTATTTATAAAGATGTTATTTAAGGAGTATTTTGCTATTTTAAAAAGGCTTTGGCTATATGGAATACAAATTCTGACAAGAAATTAGAAGGCCATTTCACTCCCACGTCTGGAAAAATAAATAGTGCAATGAAAACTTCTGATCTTAAAGGTTAGCTAGCATTCATCATTCCTCTTAAAATTCTAAACAATTCTCATGAAGAGCATTTCATCTTCTTCCTACAAAAGCCTTTATTTTTAACTCTGTTTTCTGTATCAGTAATATTTATGTCCTATATCTTTGTTAAACACTCACCTGTGACTTTTTGAAGCAAAGGCGACAACTCAGTTTCCTCACAAAAGACCTGAACCAATGCTTTCTTCACTTTTTCTTCAGCTTCAGCCAGGTCTTTGTCCTCTGTGAACTCTCCAGTGATAGAATAAATATATATTAGGAGGATCAATAGCTCTTCAGAGCTGTAGTCATCATTGGTCCTCTGATTTGAAGGCTTAATCATTGGCAGCAGCTGATTTAACACAATAGATATAGTCGACTCTCCAATGCTCTGAAATAAAAGGTGATAATGTGAAAATATATTAATCTTGTACAAAGACGTAATTCATGTACTGCATCAGTCCAAAGAGAGCTTGCAAATAAGTCTTTGATGTTCACTGACTAGATTGTTTCTTATTTGTTTGTTTCTCAGTCTGGAGAGAATATTGCAAGAAATTAGGCATTAGAGCTCTTGTTTTAAAAGATCTAGCTTATAAAATGCTAGTCAAGCTGCAGATCCTTCTATATTATCTTACATATTGCTTAAAATAATATTAAATCAATTAAAAATAAAAATAAAAATACTTCAGACACCAGAAATTTAAAATAAAAATAATATATGTTTATAAAATAATGATTAAAAACAAAAACATGCCAGCATCTATATATCCACATGAATGCTAACACTTCTTCAGAGAAATTACCTCAGATTTTGCAGCATACTCTTTTTAATATTCTCTATATTGGCAAATATTAGAATAGATGTTTTTTTATAACAGTGAAGTAATTTTCTACTAAATCCGGTGAATAGAATAAGGGATCAAACTGGGTTATGTAACAGGGTTCAAGATATCTTACAGTTAGTCTGAAGGTAATTCACCTTAAAGCTGCAAAAAGTTTTTGCTTTTAGCTTTTCCACCAATTTCTTGAGTGCTATTTAATAGATTATTTCAAAATTCCACAGCTGTGATAATAGCATTGCATCACTGGACTGATTGCATAACTTCCAAAGCACCATGCATGTTTCTAGCACAAATTCTGAGATTTTTGGTGAGTAGATAAACCCCCATTTTAAATAATGTGATCTAATTTCTCCTATAATATAAAATAACCTTTTAAAATAAAACTCAATTATTTTTGTATTTATACTAAAATCAGGAGCCTTTCACATTATTCATTCAGAAGTGTTCACTGAGTATCTACTATGTTCCAGATAATATTCTAGGTCTGTGGACACAAATGAGCAAAACAAATCCCCTTCTCTTGCACAGTTTACATTCTAGTTGGGGGAAAGAGACAATTAAAAGCCAAAGAAGTAAAATATGTAATACATTAGATGTTGGTAAGCGCTATCGAGAAAATAAAACAGGAAAGGAAGATGAGACTTTAGGGTAGGTGTTGTGTGTGTGTGTGTTTATGTGGATGGACATGCACTATTTTGAAGAAGAAAAGCTATGTTAAGAAGGAAGTACTGGAATAAAGAAAGACCTACAGAAACTCATATTTGAATGAAGCTGATATCAAGCAGATGAATGTGATTCTATATTGGGATGACTACCCAAAATGAAAATTTCTAGTCAAGTCATATTCACACCTGGAAAAACTGGGATATATCATCTCAAGGTTAAGGTTCACAATTACATTATTTGGCACAAGAAAAACAACTGTTACCATTTATTTCCACTAAAAATCTTGGATGGCCACAATGTACCACACAAAATAAAATGATAAGTCTTTGGAATGAATAAGGTAAAAGTGGAAAAACAGAATGGAGGTTTTACTGTTACGTGGTCACAAGACATAATTTACCAAGTATAAACACAGGAAGGAAAGGGCTTTGAAGGCATTCTAGAACTGTCCTATGGCTTCAGGTGTGTCCTGAGTGGAACCTTAAAGTGTTCGTTCTTTGCTTTACAAGCTGCCAAAAGCAATTTAAAAGAAAGGAGCTGTGTGGTTGGCCTGTTAAAAGAGGGGCAGTGAGGGCTGCAGTTTTGTTATTTTTTAAATTTTTTACCCTATCACGAACTCATTAAATGACATTAAGCAGACTCCTTCATTGCTTTTTATCTCATTTCTAAAAAGCAGGTGTATACATCAAGGATCTATTTCATAGAAGTCCTATGATTCTCTTTCTAGAGAAAAAGGATTCTTTTTAAGATAGTTATAAAAAGTAAAACATGGTAGGATAATCATCGTAATCATTTGAAAAGATTCACTCATCAACATCTGGCCATGAGAGCATCATTTTCAAGTGGTTGATCTAAGATATGTTCCTAGAGAACAAATTCCTTTAGTGACATTCTAGCTAAGTATTCTGTTAGCTAAGTATTACTTGTGTAAACCAATTTCTAAAATTACATCTCACCTGCTTAATGCATCCCAAGAAGTTAATTACTGAGTTGAATACAAAGCCAAGAATACTGATCAGTCTAAAAGAGGAATTTGATAAAACGGAAATAAAAAGGATCCATTTCAAAAACACAGATTCCGATACTGACTATGCCACTACCTAGTTCCTTAACCTTGTAGAATCTCAGTAAACCTCTTAGAATCTCTTTATCTCTCAAATGACATGATAACTAGAAGATGGCTGAGCTCTTAAATCATATTTAGGTTAAGGTCTCCATTTTCACTTTCTCCTCCCACCTTTTTTTAAAAAACATTACTATTAGTGGTAGAAGGCGGGAAATCATTCTCGCTGTGGGCTACACAGTAAAATATAAATGCTCAAAAAAGAAAAGTTTTACTATAGAAACAAATGTAGATGCAGAAACATTGTAGACAAGTGTGCAACATGGGCTGATACACATACATGTATTTCCTAATTATGTCCACTAAGAAGATCTAGAGGTAGTGACACCCCAGTAGCAAGTCAGATCTTAGTTTCTAATATCTTTAATTTCTCTCAAATAAAAGAAACCAGGGATTCTTAGAGAAAGGGTGAATTCTAGGAATGGGGCCAGGAAAATACAGAGGAACATGGGAAATCTTGTAGTGCCAGAAAGTAAGGAAGTCTGTAAAAAATAAAAAAATAAGAGCATGTCAAAAGGGCACAAGAGACAACTAGAAAACCTCCCAGTGGCCAAAGTTGGAACAATTTGAGCAAGAAAATAAATAAATTTGGAATGGATTATAACCCAAAGTACAGAATAAATGTGCATCACTCCATACTTATATAAATTAGTGATTGCATTAATAAATAAATGTAGAAGAGATAAATCTTCCTTACAGAAAATTTCAAATAACTTACATAGCTACCCCCACCTGGAGGTAGAGTTTAATACCCCCACCTCTTAACTATGGGCTGCACATTGTGACTTGCTCCTAAAAAAATCATGTAAGGAAAGGGGAGGAGTAATTTTACCTTAGCCAAAAGATCAAGGTTAACACTACCAGTGATAAGTCACAATGACATCATGTGTCCCTAATACAATGCAATGAAAATGGCTCTTCACTTTTGTGGTACTCTGCTCCTAAACTCATAACCTATAATAAAAACCAGATAAGTTGTAATTGAGGGACATTCTACAAAATGTCTGGCCAATACTCCTCAAAACTTTCAAGGTCATAAAAAAAACAAACAAACAAGGAAAGATGGAAAAACTACCCTACACTAGATAAGACTAAAAAAAACGTAACCACAAAATGTAATGTGGGATTACAAAGAAAGAATATTAGGGAAAAACTAGTGAAATAATAATAAAGTCTGGAGTTTATACTTACTAGTGTGTATCAATGTTAGTTTCTCAGTTTTGACAAATGTACCACGATAACGTAAGATTTTAACAATAAACTGAGGGATATACAGAAAGTCTCTGTACTATCTTGACAATTCTTTTATAAATTTAAAACTATTCTAAAATAAAATATTTATTAGAAAGACAAGAGAGAGTGTAGAGGACCAAGAGGGAAGTGGAGAGGGAGGGAAGATAATAAGACACAAATATTTTGACCTCCTTTCTGTTACACTGAATATTTTGATCTCCTTTCTGTTAGACTGAAAAATTCCAAGAAAGATGATTTCAACTGAGTACGAGGAAGAGTTCCTACAAGAGCCAAGATAAGGGACTGACTCAGGAAACAATGAATTTCTCACCAATGGCAAAAGGTGGGGTGATCATCTGGCAAGAATGAAACAGAGGGAACCCCATGCCACCTTGGCTTAAAAGGTGAACTAGAGCTTTCTAGTACTATCCATGAAAGCATGGCTCCAGACTGGATATATACTCATTCTCTGATCTCTGCCCTTAGGATGAAACTTCAACAAGAAGAAAGGAAAACATTAGTGATTCCCCAGATTGAAACCTTTTCAAAGGCGAAAGAATCTGAGGAGGATTAATAATGAGGATTGAGAAGTAAGATTATAAGCCTAGGTTTAAACCCTGGCTGTACTACTTACTAGCTGTATGACCTTGGGCAAGTTACTTAACTTCTTTAAATCTATTTCCTCATCTGTAAAATGGAAATACTACCACAAATACTTGGATATTAAGCAATCCCAAACCATGGGCACCCATTTTCACAGTACTAGGGCAACTGCTTAAACTACTTTGTGGTTTAAAATAGAGTAATCCCCACCATGGGGCAGTCTCTGTGAAGATTCAAATATAAGGGGACGCCCTTTTTCCTGAAGGCTATTTTTGAGGAAAACGTTCTCCCTCACATTTATGGATATACAAAAACAGCATTTGTGTCATAAGGTTGTTCTAAAGATTTAATAATAGGAGTAAATCACATAGCATTGTGCCTGGCACATAACCTCATACAAATATTAACTACTACTTCAACTACTTTCTTCCCTAGCAAAAGTGATTGAGATCACTGGGAAGGGAATGAAATATCTTTTAAGAATAGGAAGTTAGCAGTCTCAAAGGAGGGAGAAGCAGCTAACAAAAACTGGATATGAAACTACATCTTGGAACTTAACTGCAAAGTTAGTCAAAGGTTAAAGGCAATATAAACATCATTAAACACTGGTGTTAAAAAAGCACACACAGAGCAAACCACAACCAAAGCAAAAAAAAAAGACTTCTTTATAAAATATCAGGGATTAAATTTCTCATCCATTTTGATATAAATGGGCCTACTGGTAGGAGGTGGAAGATTGGAGCTGTGTCTAGAGTGACAAAACTATTCTGCAGACTGGGACTCCTGTTATTTTTGAATGAGTCCCCAGTAACTCCAAACAAAAGGCCCTCTGTAAATGCATGTTGTCTTGGGGTGATCATCTGGCAAGAATGAAACAGAGGGAACCCCATGCCACCTTGGCTTAAAAGGTGAACTAGAGCTTTC